CTTTTAATGTTTGCAAAAGCCCATCCTCTCAACAAAAGGGGATCTGGGGATGTCAAAAGCCATTTCACCCAACAGGCCTCATTTCGCCACACTATGATTGCTAGGTAACCAACTGTAATGACTTCCCTCACCCCATGTAGTAACAAGATGGCCGAATAGAGGAGGGGAAACGACTAACATTGGGCGTAAAAACGGAAAGGAACATTTTCCTGGTCTTCATATTTTCTTCCTGAGAAGCCCTCCTCCCTCCCCCAAACTCTCCTGGTTGTGGCTAGGCTACTCAGGAGTGGAAGAAAAGCCACTCTGCAGATGCTCAGAGGCGCTTCCTTCTTTATTGTGACTTCAGATGTTTCCGAGGCTGAGTTCCCTGGTGCTGACCAGGCAGTGGGGAAACATTGTTCCTAAATCTTTCCCTTTCCCCCACCCCTTTGCCCGAAACAGCAAAGGAACTGAAGTCCACAGGAGGGGGCGGGGCGGAGATTTTATTTTTAAACCTCAGCCTAAGAAGTGTTAGCAAACTACAGTGACAAAAGAAAAAAGCAATACAAGCTGCAAAGTGAGAGGCCCGTCTATTTTTGCAATGAGCCCCTGGAAACTGGATCTGCTTAAAAGCCTCTCCACCCGCCTTTCCTCCCCTCGCAAATGTTTTCCCTGAGCTGAGCCTTTGTGGCAGGGCGATAATGGAGTGGGGGGCCTTGGCTCGGCCTCCCCTCCCAAAGTCCATCTTTAAACTGTTTTCTTTTCCTTTTCAAAAAGCAATTAAGGGGAGTGTGAGGGCAGCCGAGAGCAAACATTCCAGCTCGGAAAGCCCTTGGACTCCGCTTCGCGATCCAAACCTGACAGCCTTTGTCATCATTTTTCAATTAAGCCCCCAGGGCAAAGGAGGCCTTCCCGCCACTGCCACACACGTGCCAGGATGTGGCACTGAGACTCCCCTCCCCGGATCCCTCCCCCTCCCCCCAGTTGGCACCTGACAACCATTTTTCCACTGAATAAATCTGTCTCGGCAAGAGGATTCGGCTCCTTTTATCAGCGCGTGCAAAAGGCGTGTTGGGTGCCAGGACATCCTGGGGTGCGTGTGCATATACATATACATAGGTGGGCTTGTCATAATAAGACGTAGGGCCTGATCCTGTGTATGTTTATAAAGAATACGGCCCTCCCCAGAGTGCCTGGTGGTGGGGGTGGACTCTGTCTGTGATGTCCACATGCCAGGCATGGCATTTGCGAGGGAAAGACTTCTGTGAGTGTAGGCACTCTACACATCATGCAGGGTCCTAGAACACAGAGAAAGTCAACACGTGTAATAATAATAATAATAATAATAATAATAATAATAATAATTTATTATTTATACCTCACCCATCTGGCTGGGTTTCCCCAGCCACTCTGGCGGCTTCCAACAGAATACCGTGGTACCTCGGGTTACATACGCTTTAGGTTACAGCTTAAGAACGGACCTCTGGAACAAATTAAGTTCTTAACCCGAGGTACCATTGTATTAAAATACAATAGTCTGTCAAACATTAAAAGCTTCCCTAAACATGGCTGCCTTCGGATGTCTTCTAAAAGTCTGGTAGTGTAGGCTTTTGCTTGCAGGTGTCCATTTCTGACATGTAGGTGTCATAGTGCTGCAAGGCTTTGTGGGCAGGGACTCAGAGGCGCAGCTCCACTGTCTATTTCGGTTACTCTGTTTCTCATCCAACCCTCCTCCCTTAATCATAAATTTAGTCCTGCACATTCCAATCTCAGTTTGCAATCAGGAAACTTCATCAGCATTTTGGTATAAATTTCTGTATTATTATTATTGTTGTTGTTGTTGTTTGTAGACTGCCCCTCATCCGGAGAGCACAGCGCAGTTCACAACATAAAGCAAATGTATGCAGCTTTGCCTAATATTTTTTTGCAAAGCAATGACCCCCATTTTGGGGGTATGTTGTTTTCATTAACACCTGCAGTTATATTATTTTTAGTTTTTAGTTTATTTGATATGCGCAATTTGTCTCAAATGCTTGTGTAGCATTTGGCTACACATTGCTTGGCTGGATTGCTGGAGCGCTGCAAAATTCGGAGGAGTGTGAATTTTAAAAGACTGTAGGATGTGTGTTTCAGTTTGCGCATTGTTTCAGAAAGTGTGGATTAGGTGAGTGTGAACTGACTCACATTTCTCGCCCACCCTTACCTACAACCCCATTATCAATGCAATTCAATGTGCCACATGTGCAAAAGGCGGGGGGGGGGGCTATGGCAAGAGATGCTTTCCATTTCTGCAAGATGCATGTCCTTGATAATTCATAACGGTGCACAATGCAGTTGTGTTTAATGATTCTTAAAGAACATTGTGGTCCTGCCAACCCACCCCAAATACGCCTTTTCCTCAAAGCTAACTTGGCCCTCCACAAACAGTTAGAAAAATGTGGCTTAAGGGAATCCAGGCACATCTTTGGGCTGCATCTCATTGCTTCATCACATGCCCAAGTCCTGGTTTTTCTGTGGTACTAGAAACCCACAATTCAAAAAAGAAAAAGGAAAGGAAAAATAACTGTAAATATTATATGTCAAGGAACAAGTGGGTTTTCCTGATAAACCACATGTATGTAATTGTGTACAGCGCTATTATGCTTAATGGCTTTTAAAGAACATTGTGGGAGCTGCCAGGCTAACACCAAATGTGACTTTCAAAAGCATTAGTTAGAAAGGCTGATCCTCCAAACAAAATGAACTTTGGGGAGCCATTGCAATGGAGAGAACGAATCCTGAAACTGAACCTGGTACATCTTTAACCATAGACTTTCTATTTATAGCCTAGCAAAGATAGCAAAAGACATATTCAAAATTTAGAAGAATTGTAAAGCAAAAAGAAATGATTTTTTAGATGACAAGCAGGCTTAACATAAGGAGCAACATACGAACAGTTGTGATGGCTGGCTCAGTGCAAGAGGAGCATTTCACCCCGGTTGCCCTGCTGGCAACCTTTTTAACAGGGTGGGAAGTCAGACCCTCCAAGTATCCCTATTTTCCAGGGACAGTCCTGGATTTACAGAAGCTGCCTCAGTTTCCCGCTTTTCCTTAGGATGTCCCTATTTTTATCGGTGAAACATTGGAGAGCAGAGAAATGTTGGAGAGTATGGAAGGGGTGACCTCTCCAGGCTACCCGCCCCCCCCCCATGATAGCTACAGGTTCCCCAGCCGGGATCTAAATGCTATTAAGGAAATGTGGGGTGTAGTTTGAAAAAGAGGCCTTTTCTTTTTTATGTCTTGTTTTATGGTTTCTGAATTTATGCAGCATTGCTACTAAGCAGAACTAAGAGCAGACCAGATCTGTATGCCCCCCCCCAGCAGCAGAAACCTGACCGCAAGTGCCAAATCTCCCATCCGCTGCAAATTTGGGATAGTGCCTCAGAGGCCATTATAGGAACAGAAACCAAAATCCAAGTCAAAGGAAAGGAAAAACCGACCAAAACAAAAACGAGAAGGCAAACAGCCAGTCTAGAAAGTGGCCCATTCCGCTGACAGCTGGGAAGCCAGAGCGTTCGTTTGCCTCTTCATAACCCCCTTTGTGATGATAAATGTGTTTTCACGGGACAGAATTGTCATAAATATCTGCAGAATTAAAAAGCAGAGCCTTGTTCACAGATTGCATAAGATGCTTTCCAGGTTCCCTCGGAGACTCAGCTTGCAACGTGCCAGGAAAAAGGGGAAAAAAGGAAAGCAAACTGAACATTAACGAGAGTGATTATGTTTTTGCTTTAATCAAAATAGGCCTGCGCTAACCAGCAATGTAGACCCTTCCTATGCTTTGGACTGAGGGTGAGCAAATAAAAAGAAAGGGGGGGGGGGAGAATGCAGCTAAAATCTGACTCTTTGGCACCCCCTGCAGTTTAGGATGAATCAGGCCCCCTTGCCAGTGGGAGGCTGCGGCCTAGCTTGAGTACTTTTGTTATCTGAATGAGGAAAAAGAGCAAAAACCTCAGAGAAATCTCACTACCCAGGCGCTCCATAAACATCTCCAGCAGAGGGGCCAAGAACACAAGAGCAGCCCCCCCCCCCGCTTCATTATACGCAAATCATTGCCGCTGGCAATACTGACGAACACTGAGAAGGTCAAATTGGGTCAGTCACAAGGGGCAAGAGAAGCAGAATCAGTCGAAGAAATGCACTTCAGCCCTTTTATTGGGAGAGTTTTTTGTGCCACTGCTTCCTAAAAGCTGTTGGCATCATTCTTTCGGAACCTTTCAGAGGATCGTAAAATCCTGGTTTTATACATATCGCTAATGCTAGCCCAGACCCTCGGAGTGTCCCAATTTTCCAGGGATCTCCCTGATTTAGAGAAGCCATCCCAGTTTCTGATTTGATCCCGGAATGTCCCCCTTTTCCTTAAAATGTCCCTATTTTCATTGGAGAAATATTGCAGGTTATGGAGTTATCTGACCTCTGAGCCCTCTGAAGGCAATCCTGTATAGGAAAGGTTTTTTTTAAAAAAAGTTTCATGTTTTACTATGTTTTTATGTATGTTGGAAGCTGCCCAGAGCGGCTGGGGCAACCCAGAAATATAATGATAATTTTACTATTTATGCCTCACACATCTTACTGGCTCCCCACCCCCCAGCCACTTTGGGCAACTTCCAACCTATAAATAATAATAAAAAAACATTAAACATTAAAAAGTCCCTACACAGGATTGCCCTCAGATGGCTTGGGAGTCGGATAACTTCATACCCTTCAACATTTCTCCAGTGAAAATAGGAAAAGTGAGACATTCCAGGATCAAATCAGAAACCAGGACAGCTTCTCTAAATCAGGGGTGTCCCTGGAAAATAGGAATACTTGGAGGGTCTGCAACAGGCCATTTGCTACGTCACACCATAGTGAATATCTCCCAACAGAGGGACAGTAAGTAGGGCCGCCTCTGCAGATCAGAAAGCACAGGCAGGCTGGTACATGGAGAGGCACTACTCCAGCCAGGTATTTAGAGCAAAAGTCATGTAGGGCTTTATGTCCAGGACCAGAAGTCAGATTTATTTACTTAGTTATAAAAATATTTATATACTGCAGTATCATTGAAAAAATTATAGCTGTTTACAACATTATAAAAACATTTAAACCCCAAAATAACATCATATAAAAGCAAAAAACAAAAAAACAAAAAAAACCAAGTTAAAAGCAAAAAGAAATTCAAGTCCATTTCGGGTGATGGAATGGAGCTCTCTGGAGCACAGAGCCAGTCCCAGAAGTGTTGCTACCATACAAACAAGGGTGTGGTGTGGGGGACAGTGTCCCACGTCTTGAGGATGCAGCAATGCTGGTCTCAGTGTATTCTAGTGTGGAAAAGGCCAGAAGCTCCCCTACTGTACTGCAGAAGACGACTCCTGGAGAGGGCCGGACCCCTTCAATTAAAGCAGCACCTTACAATGTGGATGGGGGCCAACCATTAGGATAGAGCCGACGCTCTACAGGGCTCAATATTGATTTGTTTCTTGCTGAAGCAACATCACAGCCCTGAATTTCCAGAGCACAGCCTGATGGCTGCAAATGGTGTGGCGGTGGCACTCACCTGGCCTCCTGACGGCCAAGTTGCTGCTGCTTACTGAGAACAACAAAGGGGTGAGGCAGTGGGAAGGTTGGTGCGGTGCAAGCTTACAAGCAGGAGTGCCAGATGAGCTTCGCCGGTGTGTTTGCACTGCACCAACCTCCCTGTTGCCTCACTTCTCCCTGCTCTTTCCTTCCCTGTAAGCATCAGCGGCTCAACGGTTAGGTGAGCACTACTGCCCCACCATATTGCCTGTTACTGCTGCTGGATCTTGGCTTCAAGCTTGATCCTTTCCCTGTTTTGTCTTGCCTCTGGATCTAGTCTCAATCTCACTTTACACCCAGTCTGAGCAGGCCATTTTGTAAGCCAAACACAAACATGGAGGAGGCAACCACTGCAGATCTTTCAGAACTGGGGTGACATTAATTAATTGACGATTTTGATCATTTAACCCACACTTCAGCCGCTCTTGGTTCCAGGGCAGATTACAGTAATAAGATTCATATAGAAGTTATTGATATGTCCAGTATATATTTAATAAGAATAATATACAGTATCAAAATAACAACACTACGGCAGCCATGTTTATAGTTGACCCTCTCGGCTCAACCCTCTCTCAAAGGCTGGGTGAAAAAAGGGTATATTTACCCAGCAACAAAAGTTGAATAATGACAGTGTCGTCCCTATAGCGAAGGGAAGTGAGTTCCCTAAACAGGGCCTTCTCCATGGTGGCCCCCTATCTTGTGTCACTGCATTGTGGGTATCCCCTAACCACGGGGCAACAAGAAGGCCTTCTGCTGCTAATCTCATTACATGAGCAGGCTGGTGCCAAACCATTTAACACTCTGACAGCTGCATTCTGCAGCAATTGCAGCTTCTAAATATTCTTCATTAAGTATTTACACATTACAATAGTCCAGTCAAGGGACGAACTGAGCATGGATCCCTGTAGTGGTTTTTCTGTTGGCAGACCTATCTCAAAGACTTGCTATTACCAAGGCAAATCAGTACAACTTTGCATGTTGCAAGACTATCTTTTTTCCACAGGGTAGAAAAACACCTTTTTTGATCAATTGGCCTAAAGAGTATTCTGGTTGAAATAGGAGCCCAGAAATTACACGGTTGGCCTTCCTGTGGAGAGACAATCCAGTCACTGAATCATTCCTGCAAGGACATATGACCTGCTGCTGCTTCCCACTGCCACATTTCTGTTGCAGCCCTCACAACACTCATACAGCCATGGTTTGTCTCCAGAGCCTTTTCGAAATGCAACCCAGAGAGCTTTCAAAGACCAAGAGCGCACTGTTGTGCTTCCGGGTGGGGTGGGGTATAGGGAGTGGTGGGGCAGCATTGCTAGGAAACAGAGGACCCCAGCATTTGGGGGCAACGTTAAGCAGCAGGTAGAAGTTTCTTGATGAAGTCAACAATATGGGAAGCCGGATGCACTGCGTCATATTCTGCAAAGAGGTGGCAGATATTCTCAGAGTCTGCTGGGCTTTTGGCAATGACACCGAAGATCCTGTGGCGAGAAACAGAGAGGAAACAAATCCCTATGTGATAGGTTTACGCTCATGACAGATGAAGAAATGCTCAAGCATGTAGACTTGAACTTTGGACACACCATGATTCCTTAAACCGCAGAGAAACACACCACCTCTGGCTGGGCACATTAAAGCACATTTCCTCCCCAATGACCTTGGGAACTATATTTTACCCCCTGAAACTATAACTCCCAACACCCACAACAAACTGCAGTTCCCAATATTCTTTATTGTGTGGGTGGGGAAGGAAATGTGCTTTAAATGTGTCGCATATGCACAGCCAGAGGTGGTGCGTTACTCTGTGGTTTAAGGAATTTTCCATGTCCTCATTTTGCAGAATATATTCTGCTTCTGGTAGTTATGGGGAAGGGCAAAGAGTTACAAAAGGCATTCCCACCCCCCTTTTCTCTTCCATTCCTTTGTTCAAATGGCATCTTGCTTGGAACGCAAGGAGCTGGGAGGAGGCAACGCCCAGGGTGACTCACCTATGCTGACTGCCCTATTTCTCTCCCCACACCCACCTCCACTCACCCCTTTAATCACTTTTGTTATATACTTTGTTTTAGAAAAGTAAGGCTCAGAAGATTAAGGTTCAAATCCAAAATTAATGAAGGGGTATAGAAAGCAAAGGGACACGAGCTGCAATCTTAAGCACACGTCCGCAGGTGAGACCCATTCAGTTCAATTCAATTCAACGGGACTTGCGTTCAAGGAAACAGGGATTCAATATTGTAAATGAATTGGTTCAGGTATCAGGAATGGGTGTGTGTTTGTGACACACTAGCTCCCCCCCCTTTTTTTTAAAAAAAAACTCTGGATTTTCCCAGAAAGGAAATCCAGATTAAATGGGGGGGGGCAGGGATTTACATATTGGCTTGTTGATGCCAATGGCTGTGAAAAGACATGCAGAGAAGCCCCCACTCCCATAATAAACCCCCATTTGGAAGCACCCTCAGCATCTGGGTGCTAGCTTACCATGAGGGTACCTTTTAGTTGAATTTCTGTTGCTGCCTTTTTCTCAACCCTTAGCCTGCAGTCCTATACACACATTTAACTGGGAGCAAGTCTCACTGAATTCGGTAGGACTTCCTTCTGAGCAGGAATGCATGATTGTGCTGCTACTAATATGCTTTATGAGAAAACAATCGCCCTAACCCAGGCATAGGCAAACTTGGCCCTCCAGATGTTTTGGTACTACAACTCCCACCATCCCTAGCTAACAGGACCAGGGGTCAGGGATGATGGGAGTTGTATTCCCAAAACATCTAGATGGCCGAGTTTGCTTATGCCTTCCCTAAGCAATCTCTAATTCCTCATATCATCGTATAGCCCTCATTCCATGAAGCTGCTCATCCCATCCATATAGCTTACCTGGAAATTTTGGAAAATTTCTGCCACCTTTACAAAAAAGAGAGGAAGGGGGAATTAGACTTCATATTCAACAAATCATTTCATTAGTAGGCTTGTTTAATGTAACAGTCTGACTCAATATAAGGCAGTAGATCTTGTTGCAGATCTTTGTCCCTGCCCCCCTTCCTGATACAGTGGTACCTCGAGTTACAGGCGCTTCAGGTTACAGACGCTTCAGGTTACAGACTCTGCTAACCCAGAAATAATACCTCGGGTTAAGAACTTTGCTTCAGGATGAGAACAGCAGCACGAGGCCCCATTAGCTAAAGTGGTACCTCAGGTTAAGTACAGTTTCAAGTTAAGAACGGACCTCCAGAACAAATTAAGTTCTTAACCTGAGGTACCACTGTACAGATTTTCCTGCAGCTCTTATTCCCTGGCAGGGAGGGGGGACGCTATTTGGGGGTTTGTGTCAGATGCCAAAATGTATTGGGCCAGCTCTGATCCACCATACTATAGCAATTAAACTTTGCAAGAAGGTGCTTAAAACACAACATTTGCGCTTCCCCTTTTTGATTCAGCCATTCTTTTTTATGAAGAATCCAGGGTAGGTTGCTGCCAAACCACTGCAACCCAGTGTTTTCCAGATGAAAGCAAAGAATATGGTACGTAGGTTGCTAGGAAATAGTCTGGAACATGGGTGGACAGAAAGTGCATTGGGATCTACTACTAGTAGATCTCCTGGTGACTGGCAGCAGATAGGCAAGGGTGTCTGGCTCCCAATGGTTTAGCAACAGCAAGAACGGCAGCATTAAGATACATACAACAATTTGATTAACATTTGAATGATGTAAATTGGAAAACTGACTAAAACGGCTACAGTAAAATATGCAGGAATGGTAGGCAAGTAAAATGAACCATGGAAGGAGAAGGAGGGAAGTCATTGGATATATGGTATTACGTAAAATGTTTATTTTGATATGTATAATTAAAAAAATTAATAAAAAACTATTTTTTAAAAAAAGCAATAGCAACAACAAATTAACTTTTCTCACTTAGTGAAATGAAAAAAGCTAACCAGGGTGGAATCTAGACACATATAAAAACAAACCCACTGTGAAAACGTTTTTTAAAAAAAGTTTTAAAACTATATATTGAATTTGCCATTAGCGCACCATTGCCATCTAGTGTCACATTTGTATAATGCACTTAAAACTTTATATTTGCAGCTGTATAGCAGAGTCCCAGGAGTGCAGTTTGCTGTGAAAAGGCTGTGAGCCCAGTTCAGTTCTGGTACTGAGAAACAATTCCTTAGGCTAATAAGGCACCCTGTTCTTCAGTTCTATGTCTTTTGCAGCTGGCTCTGGCTGGTAGATCTTGCGAAACAAACAGGCAGAGTGGGTCTGACAAGCTTGAAGTCTGCCCACCCTTTTGGGAGTAGCCATAGAGAGCCATTATTATTTCTGAAGGCAGCCCTGTTTAGGGAAGTTTTTTAATGACTGATGTTTCAATGTATTTTTGATCTGTTGCAAGCCGCCCAGAGTGGCTGGGGAAACCCAGCCAGATGGACGGGGTATAAGTAATAAATTATTATTGTTATTGTTATTGTTATTCAGCCTCCCATGGCCAACCACATGGAGAGAAAGCACTGGCCCTAAAATAAAAGATGCTTGGGAAATAAACTGTGTGGGTGAGGTGGGGAGAAATCAAAATTGCTGCATGTGGCCTCCTGTTAATGCTGGTAGCAATACTGGAGGAGCAGCCTGGTCACTTACTTTCGGTTTTCAGGGTCCATGTCACAAAAGCTGATGGCAGCCAGTGGATAGTGCCGCCGGAAGAAAACCCTGTAGAGAGGAGGCAAAAATCAAGCATGTTTACTTTTTTTTAAAAAGGAAAACACCCAAAACAAAACCAATGAGTTACTTAAGAAGTCAGTTCAAAAATGGCTATCCCTCCTTGTATGTGCACTATTCAGTGCTGTTTCCTTTCTGCTGCACTGAAACCCCCCCCTACATTATCTGTCTTGCCCTTAGTGATGAAATTACGTAACTTACGTAATTGATGAAAATTACATTATGGTTGTTGGGATGCGGGTGGTGCTGTGGGTTAAACCACAGAGCCTAGGACTTGCCGATCAGAAGGTCAGCGGTTTGAATCCCCGCGACGGGGTGAGCTCCCATTGCTCGGTCCCTGCTCCTGCCAACCTAGCAGTTCGAAAGCACGTCAAAGTGCAAGTAGATAAATGGGTACTGCTCCAGCGGGAAGGTAAACGGCATTTCCTTGCGCTGCTCTGGTTCGCCAGAAGTGGCTTAGTCATGCTGGCCACATGACCCGGAAGCTGTACGCCGGCTCCCTTGGCCAATATAGCGAGATGAGCGGCGCAACCCCAGAGTCGGTCACGACTGGACCTAATGATCAGGGGTCCCCTTACCTTTACCTTACATTATGGTTACGCCACATTCATCTCAATGCAAAGGAAACAGAATGCAAATGTGGGGGGTGGTGTGGTGAGGATGTAATCAATCATGTAACGTTTGTGGACAGAAAGCCACATCTGTCATGGATGCTTTAGTTGAGATTCCTGGAATCTCAGGGTCCCCTCCACCTCTACAATTCCATGATTCTGTGGACGACAACAACAGCGGTGAATATTGATCGTATTCACTGGTTTGATTCCCATTTCACACATGGGACAGACCGGCCATTTCCGCTCCTGTCGGAGTTCTCTGATATCCCCCTTGGGCGGAAATCCTTGGGTGTTCCCCGGTTCCTGCGCATGTTCCCATTTGCAAATAGACACCAGGAGCACCTCTGCTTTTGTTTCCGACATTGCAAAAGGTTTGCCCTCTTTCCCACCCCCAACAAGTTAACAGAGCAGGCAACTCTGTAAGAAAAGTTGCTCTTTCCTCCTCTGCCACCTGCTGTCCTATTCGGCTTCCTTACTTCCGCTGGATATCTGTCAAGGTGATTCCTTGGTCAGTCACTTTGAAGTGGACGATGGTGGGCGTAGGCGGGACCTCCAGTTCGAAAGTGGCAGACACGGCTTTCCGAACTGCTGCTTTCCCAGTGAGCGTCTCCATGGTCAGGGAATGCAGGTACAGGAGATTGCAGACTGTTAAGGCCAGAAGGCCGAGAGAGAGAGAGAGAGAGAGAGAGAGAGAGAGAGAGAGAGAGAGAGAGAAGAAAGGACGATTAATGACCTGTTGTGGCTGCTGACCTCCGGGGGTGGTGTTAATAAATGTAAAAATGAAATTAAACTCTCCCCCCCCTACCCAAATCCCTCCAAATGGCTGTGATGGGAAAGGTGTTCGGGTTGCTAGTGTTTCTCACTTTTTTTAAAAAAAAGGCCAGATATGCATTCCTGGAGTTGGACAGCCCGTGTGTGTGTGTGTGGTTAAGGCATGCTGGGGAGAAGAGCTACCATCCGTCCTCCAGCCAGGGCATCAACAAACCCGGAATTGAGGTATCAACACTGGAGGAGAATGGTGGATGCAGCCTGCCCTGGGTGTCATCCCTGGGGGGTGGGGGTGACATTGCCGCTCCACCCCCCTGGGACGCTTGCCCCGCCCCCGGGTGCACAGCATGCACACCGCTCTGGGTGCCAGAACAGCTAGCTCCTCCTCTGGGTATCAAGTACTCAGTTTGGGGAACACTGCAAAACCTTCCTTTTCAGGCAGGGCTTTGAAAACTAAGGCGCAGACGATGCAGATCACCGGGCTGCTGCTATCACGACAATTGTGTTCCGTTGTATTTTCATTATTGCTCTTAACTAGATTGTTTCCATTACTTCGTATTTTATATAATTTTTTTTTTTAATGTTGCAAGCTCCCTTGAATCCTAGTTTGGGAGAAAGGTGGGATATACTGTACATTAAATATATTATTATTATTATTATTATTATTATTATTATTATTTTGCAGGCTACTAGCTTGGCTAAGTTTACTTATGAGGCTGGTCTGAGTGGTGGCAAAATGGGATATCTTCACAGCATGTATGTAGCTGCATGTAGACAGAAGAACAGGTGTGAATTTACAACACTCGGCTCCGATACTCCAAACAACCCCTACAAACTTAACAGATAGGTGTGCATGCTCCCATTTCACTTACCTGCAGCTTTCATTGAAACTGGAAGAGTGGCTTCTGAACCCACAGCAGGATTTTCTCTTCCTCCAAAGAAATCTGAAGTGAGGTTGGAGGTGGGGAAATCAAAGTAGGAAAAAACTAATCAGACAGAGGGCAAAAATGTACCAATTACAATCCGCATTGTTCTAATTTTCAGTTTTGATGCACAGGGGAACCACCACATCAGTCTCTAAAGATGCATACCAAAATCAAAACTAAAGCCGAATCATAAAAACAGGAGTTGCTTCATTCTTCTGCAGGATGAAGCAACCTCTCCCTCTTCACAGTGCTACTAACAGTCACATTTACTAGTGATTCAAATGCCGATTCAGTTGTTACCTAGCTATCCCCCACGCCCCCGGTGCTTTAGGTGGGCTGTTTGCCTTTTTATTTTTTGAAGGTGGTACTTGTATTTGTGAGAACTAGAAGATTTTATCATATCACACCAATTTTGCGTCAGTTGAATTGGCTTGAATTTTCGGCCTCAGCTTAAAAGACTGTTACAAACCGTTACGTCCCTGAACAATCAGGTTGCTTGATGGACAGCCTATATGAACCTGCCTGAGCCCTAAAATTGGCCTCAGAGGCCCTGCTAAGATTAATCAGGCTGGTGGGCACTGAAGACAAGGCCTTTTCAGATGATGGCCCCACATATGTCAAATTCCCTTCTCCAAGAACCTGTGGCCGTCCAGCCCCAGCCGGCACGTAAATCAGGAGAGCCTTATCCCTCTCCTATGTCTAGCATGAATACTAGACAGAGCACACTATTCCTTTCAGCACTTCAGCAATTATTTGCTTCAGTTCCTAAACGTACCTTGGCTGGGGATAACCAGTCTGCAGGGCAATGCTAAAGGCATGATGGTGTGTTGATATACAAACGCCGAGAGACTTCCTGTAACAAAGAGGTAGAGGAAGAGGTTTGTACACGGTGTTCTTAAACCTCTGAACCCAAAATCTCTGCCAAAATTCTCATTTCCCCCCTGCATTCTGCCACTGATTAACAGCTGCACTGAATGTGTATCTGAAGAAGTGTGCATGCACACGAAAACTCATACCAATAACAAACTTAGTTGGTCTCTAAGGTGCTACTGGAAGGAATTTTTTTAATTTTGTTTCAGCTGCACTGAATGTTTGTTAATGAACTAGGGAAATTGTTATAGGGGAGCCAACGAACAACTAACAGAAAACAGTTTTCAGAGATAACATGTCTTTTTCGGGACATTGCGAGACAAACCAGAGTTTATCATGTCTCATATCCATCCTTGCTCTTCCTAGGGTTGTCCAGAAACAGGTAAGTATGAGATCTTGCTGCTGTCCTTGGAAACCAGCCAGCTCATTACTTTGGAGATCCACCCCAAATGTTTAGCAAAAGCCAGAGTGGGAACAAGCAGAATGGCTTGTTTAGTAAGAGTGTTAACATTGGACTGGATGGAACTTTGGTTTGATCCCGTTGGGTTCTTCTTAACAGCAAAATGCAGTAACTTCAGAAACACTCATGTTACACACAGCTTCCTAACAACAAATCCTGAACCAACTGTAGTGACATTTAACAAATAGATGCATCAGGAAGGCTGTCTTACCAAAATAGGGTTCTTCTTCAGCGCCCTTAAGGTGTACTCCTCGGGCAGAAGACTCAATGAGGAAGTGCCTGATGGGATCACTGCCATCTTCCCCTTTGAAGCAAAAACAAATAGTGCTGAAACGATTTTGAAATGCAACTCTTGCACCAGAGACTTTGCAAAAACTGAACTGGCTTCTGAAAATTGGCTCGTGTCTTTGCATCCTCTTCTGCTTTCGCTTTCCACCCCCTTCCCCTTACTCATTTTAGTGCTATTTCACATTTTAAAAATATATATATTTACAAATTATAAATCACAAGTAGTGGTTCGTAAATAAACCCATTAGTTTCTGAACACTGTTTTGTGTATTCTTTGTACAGAAAGGTGGTATCATTTAACAAAAAATTAAAACAAACAAACATAGCAAAGCATATTCTGCTCCTAAATTCTTGGCCTTTTGTTCTTTTTTTAATCACCGATGCTATTTCTGTGGTACAACATTAAAAAAGCTGGAGAGGGAGAATTTACTATTTGGCTCTCCCACCTCCCAGTTGTTTTACAGACATGGATTTCATTTTATTTTAAACCCAACAATTTATTTTCTCTCGTGAAAGGAGCCGTGTGATCTGCCACCAACTTTAAGAGCTGTTCCTAAAATCTGTTTAAAGAAATGTTATAAAGAAATGATAGAAATAAAGGTTATACCATTTCAAATACATTCTCAATGTAAGCTGTTTAGTTGGAATCCTGAATGCAAAACAAGAGTTACATAGGTAACATCCTATGTGCAGAGACACACAGGCAACACCCACATCATACGTTTAAAGCACATGGCTTCCTCCAAAGAATCCAGGTCACAGTAGTTCACCCTCAAAGAAACTACAACTCCCTGCACCCTTAAAGAACTACAGTTCCCAGGATTCTTCTGAGAAAACTATGTATTTTTAAATGGGTGGTGCAGATGTGACCATAGACAGTAGGCACTGTCACACCCTAAAACCACATCTTTCCAGTTGCAAGAGTGATGTGTGGTTCCAGTTTTATTTTTTTATTATTGTTTTTAAAGTGCACCCCAGCCAGCAGAAGTTTGGGAAGACACATACAGTCATACCTTGGGTTAAATTTGCTTCAAGTTGAGCGTGTTCAAGTTGCGCTCCGCGGCAACCTGGAAGTAACGGAGCGCGTTACTTCCAGGTTTCGCTGCTTGCGCATGCACAGACACTCAAAGTGACGTCACGCGCATGCGCAGAAGGGGCGAAACGCGACGTGCGCGTACGCAGACATGCCGCCGCTAGATACGTTTACCTCTAGATGCGAACGGGGCTCCGGAACGGATCCCGTTCGTATCTAAAGGTACCACTGTATTCAGATCTCCTTTTCTATGTTCCCCTTCCTTTATCTATATTGTCAAGACTAAGACTGGAAACCTCAGGGCAGTAAACCCTGAGGCAGGTATTAAAATCCTGCAGGAACTTGCAATAGAAGCTCCTGAGAACAGTGGTATGCAGTGAAATTTTTCATAGGGGAACACAGGGCCAGAAGCACCAGCTTGTGAGGGGTTTTTGGGGGGTGGCGATGTTGCACACATGAGCATCGTGCCCCCCCCAAGCCGGGCAGAAGCTTCTCGGGCTTTGGGAAGAAGGTTCCAGGGGAACAATCCACTGACCACACACCCCTGCTTGAGCAAGACCAACCCCCTCCCCCCCTCAAAAGGGAAGCCTCAGTACCTGTTTTGCCGCCGAAGACTTTCATGGCCAGGCCAAACGAGCCGCGGTAAGATGTGCTGTCCCGCATGATGAAAGTGCCAGGAGGTTCATCAGCTAGCATCTGGACAGCTGTTTAACGGCACACAGTAGGCAAAGCATCGCCATAACCAAAGAAGGGCGTTATTTTATGAAGGCAGGCGGGATGGCAATATTGTGATTAATAATAATAATTAATAATAATAATAATAATAATAATAGTGTGTATGGTGCTTTCTAGTGTTCAAAACATTTCATTGTGTAAATGCAAGGGACACATTTCTGCAGGCAAAAACACTTTGTATGCACAGCAAGACCAGTGTGGGGCAGTGCGGGGGGAGGGGCTGTGGAGATAGGGAGAGTTCTGTGGGCCAGATAGAGAAGCCTGGAGGGCCACTTTGCACTGAAGTTCCCTGCCCTCATTGTAATCCTTGCAAGAACCCTGTGGTTGGACCTCCAGATGTTGTTGGACTCTGGAGGTGGTCTGGGATGGCCAGTGGTCTGGGATGATGTGAGTTGCAGTCTATCAGCATCAGGGGGGCTATAGGTTCCCTTTCTCTTGTATATGTGGACTTGCATGTGTTCTTCTCTCTTTGGTACTTTCAGAATAAGCGAAGGAGGATTCTCCAACCTGTGCTTACCTCTAATTTGTAAAGCCAGGGCAGGGGTAGTGGCGTTTGCTGGGCAGGGCTGGATTTAAATGAACAGAGGCCCTAGTCTACTCCACTTGTGAGGCTCCTCCCCACCCCCACCCTCACAACTGGGGAGCAGGCAGGCTGGTGAGGCCCCCTAGATGTAGAGGACTGAGTTGCCCTGCCCTTGCATGAAGTCTTGGGTTTTCAATTTTGGGAGAGGGGAGACTGTGGCACTGGGGAGAGGGCAGGCTGGTGAGGCCCCCTAGATTTAGAGGCCCTAGGCTTCAGCCTACTTAGCCTATACATAAATCTGGCACTGTTGCTGGGGAAAGCAGTGCTCAGGAGAGCATCTTTAACCCTCCCCACCCCTGCCCCGACTGCCCAGTCGAGTTAGGAAAAGTGACTGAAAAGGATGACCCTGGGCCCTGCTATATCAGAGGAAGAAAATATGGGTGCAGCTTCGCCCACGGTTTCTTAAATTCCCTGCTATTCCCTCACCTCCCTCATGAACTTATTTTACCTTGGTCCCTTGTGATGCTAGGCTTGAACCAATACTTGGAGGTGTCCATCACGAACTTCATCGTTGTCTGGGTTTCTTTGGAATAGCCTGCAAGAGGGAAGAGGATACAGGAAAAGCTGGAAGCAATGTCCAAAAAGCGACTGCATTGATCAGAGAGACTAATCATTGTTCCTTTAAATTTTAGGCTAGGAAAACAGATGGCTTAAGTGGGGTCTGAAAGGGACTTATGAAATCATAAAGATCCAGGGGAAAAAGACACATTATTTGAAATGAACCATCCATTGAAATGGCTAGACAACAGATTTATGGCAATACTGTAAGAGGAAAGTTATCTCTTCACAGAACAAAAATTAACCTGTTGAATTCATTGTTAAAAGATTTTAGCCATTGACTGAACTATACCTGAAAGTAGTTCCCTTAATGCCGGGTGAACGAAAGGTAAATTAATTTTAGGGTAGATCTTTTAAAGGTATCTAATTCATTTTCACATTCATTCTCTCCCTACCCTCTGCAGTATGACTGAATACTTAGCTTTCATTTTTTTAAATAAAGAAAGTTAGAAAGCAAAAAGTGGAGGCTGTGCTCTAAGGCTTATTAGGCAGATACGGAGATGCTGCTGTTGCTAAGATCTCCAAGTCACTTAATTACTGCTGCTAAGCAATCAGAAGGAAGGAATGTCCGGCATTTCTGGTATTGTCTGTGCTAAAGGGATTTTCCCTCTTCCAACAGGAGTAGCTTGCACCAAATAGTACAGGGAAAAAGCCTGTGATGCATTGTGCCTTTGACATGTGTGTGGCTGGTACAAATTAAACAGGGCAAGCCTTTTCTAGTATGGAAATAAAATTCTGGGGAAAGCTTCACCACCATTCTATCTGTCACGATATCTTTTTATTTGTGCGTGGCCCCCAATTTGCTTTTGGACCCCTTACGTGAGCACAACAGCTTGTAATATTCTGAATGTTGGATTTTATTTTGCTGAAGACAAACTTTTTATAAACTAAAAAGTTCATTTTGATGAACTTGAACTGTTTAATTAAAGGATGAACTCAAACCGGTTCCTTTTCAATGGGACAAACTTGAATTCGTTTGTTTTTTTCAAATAAACATTCCAAGCACTGATCCTTTCCATGTGCCCCATTTGCAACAAAGTTGTTTTGAAATTTAAAATATATATAGGTTCTAATCACAGGGGTCAGATGACTTACTGTCCAGAGACGAAGAAGATGAGAGCGAGCTCTCTGAAGATGTTTTGTTGGAACTGCTGGCACCTGAAAATGAGCCAGAACTGGGTGGGACCATCTTCTGTTTGAAAGAACCTGGGTGATTCCTGTAAAGTTTGGAGGACATCTCACTGTCTTCCAGACGGCCGTTGATAAGCACAATGGGCACAGGGGATGGGGAGCTTCTGACGGGTGAAGGAGAGCAGCTATGGGTCTGTCCCTTCTGGAATGGCTGAGGTAGGGGAGAATTCCCTTTCTGGGAGCAACTGACACCAGGATAGTAGGAACCTGAGCTCCAGGAACCAAGGGAAGAACCATTGAGGGATCCAACAGAGGAAGGACTTCCCGTTGACCTGGTCTGAGGAGTGTCGGGCTCATTGTTGGACAGTGACTGGGAGCTGCTGCAAAAGACGAAAGGAAACACAGGAGGAGGCATTAAGGAAGAGGCATAAAACTATTAGCACCAAGTCAAGGCCTGCAGGTCTTTCTGGCCTGAAGGGCACTGTCAAGTCACAAACTGTGCCTGCAGAAAGAAAGGAAAGAATTGGGAGTGTGCTTAGAGCACACATTCCTTGGAAACTTAGTGACTTTACACCATGGTAATTGACAGGTAGTGCAGCCCCACCCACCTGTCACAATGACCTGCGGGGAGGTGGTGAAGCTCAGGATCCAGTCTGTTCGACCAGATCCTGTTTGCTACCCTGTCTTATAGTACGTGGTGCCTCTTATCTTCCAAACTCAAAAATCGCAAGTAGGCAAGGGATCTGCAACAAAATGTTGCGGTGGGGAGTGCTCCAGTTCAGAATTTCAACCAGTCCCTTTTATTCCAGGATACTCCATTCAATTCCTAGTCCTCTCCCATAATTATCAGTTAGCATAAGGGTGCCCAGATGATAGAGCTTCTGTACCTTTAATAGATGTGCATGACAAGCTCCCACCTACTGAAAGCACAACTTCTGCACAACTGCTGTTATAAAGGTACAGAAACCCGAATGAGTTAACTTCTAGATCAGGTACAAAGGATTCCAAAGCAACAACTTTACCTTCCAAGAAAGTAGCTGGTGTCCGACCCAGGACTTGTCGACAGCAGAGATGCCTCGCTGCATCGCTGCACCAGCCTCCCATGCTGAGACAGCTTCCGTAAGTTCTCCAAGCCTGGGGAGGAAGCCAGGAGGGAAGCTGACCCATAGCCCTTCTGGTCCTGCTGTGGGATGGAGATGCTTTCAGAGACTCGGATGCAAGCCGGCGACTGCCTCCCTGTGGGATACTGGGGGCCACCAGGATCGTGGCCAACCATGAAGGTCATGTGGCCACTGGAGCAGGTTCCTCCATGGGGGAACAAAGGGCAGTGGTTTGGGGGAGACGTGGAATGTGGAGCGCTGGACGGACTCGCTGAGTTCTGCAGAGACTCCTGGCACTTTGCTCTGGCAGGTGTCATTTCGATGTACTTTATGTCTGGCAGAAAGAAACATCAAAAAACCTCAGAGGCAAAAAAGAGCAACAGACAAGATGAAATAGAGCTCAGCAAAGCTTAGTCTCCAACCCTGTTTTGTTTTGTTTTTTAACAATATACCTGTTTCGCTACACTAAGAAGCAATATATATTTTCACATCTATATATATATTTGCATTTTGTTCTGTACTTTTGTAAATTGCCCTGGAAGCACCATGGAAGAGCAGTGTGTGTGTGTGTGTGTGTGTGTGTGAGAGAGAGAGAGAGAGAGAGAGAGAGAGAACATTGTAAAAAGAGCTTCACACTATTTCACACTATTCCTGTATGGCAGGAGGCTGGACTAGATGGGGTCCCCTTGCAACTGAACAATTCTATGATTCAGTAATCCTTGCAGCAAAATCACCACCACCACTGCTCTGTAGAGTGGGGAAAAGCATCCTTCACGAATTTGACTTTCAGCAACTGTGAAATGCTAGAGGGGCAGGACAAGTCTGGCTACTCTCACCCTTAAAGCCAATTCTGAGAGGCAGATAGATAGATAGATAGATGATAGATAGATAGATAGATAGATAATTTATTACAGTCAAAGACCAGCTCACATAACATAATAAAAACAGCGTTCATAAAGATAAAATATACAATCAGAGCAGATTGCAGCAATAACTCATGAGTTAAAATTGGCTTTCATCAGTTCATCCTGGCTGGCTCCAGGAAAAGGCACTTGATGTGTATGGAAAACCATTTTCACGAAGGGAATCTGCAAATGTTAGAATTAACCGTGCTCCCATCTCCCCTTGGTTGCCTGCTGTGTGAGTCACTTCCTCAAGAGCTCAAAATTTGGCTGCCCCTCCCCAACCCAATTTGAAGGCTGCTTCTACTCTTAAAAAAATGGACTCTTTTTGTTTCTTTCCCCATTGTTCTCTTTGATCTTTCATGAAAGTTATTGTTTCTTTCCTAACAAGAGAGTAGGATGACTTGGGGGCAGAGGACAGAACTTCTGGTTTAAGGTACATCCACTACCTGAGAGGCAGTTAGATTTGCCTCGGGACAAATCTTGGAGAAACGTCTCATTTGCAGAAACGCCTCAACCCCTTTCAGCCAGCTCAACCCTACAGCATCAAACTGCAAGCAGCTTCACAGTGACGCTCAAATGTTTATAGTTGCTGATTCTTCAAAGCCGCATTCAAACCAGGCCTCTGTCCTTGAACCTGTTTTCAGTGCCAGGACCTGGTGTTGGGATACACACAGTAAGAAAAGCAGCCAAGAGCAAGACTCCGGGCATGTGCAGAGTGTAATGATGGGAAATGATGGGGTTAAACAGTAAGTGCATTCACTATGTTGGGTTAGAGCTGAAGATTCCACCTTCAGACAGTTCTTGCGGTTACTTTCGTTTTCCTATTCAGTTCTCTCTTTGCTCAATAAATAAGTCTAGGTTTTGAGGTCTGAAAAAAGACAGGGAACTAAACAAGAATGAGTGGGGTATGGGGCAATCCATCTGGGCTGTCAATAAGAAGCATTAGGCTGACAGGAACTAGGGACTGCTTTCTCAGTGACGGCCCCATATTAATGGAATTGCTTACAGCCATTTCACGGGTGACTCTAAAAAGAATTTATCAGCTGGTTTAATTAATTGTTGAGTTTTACTGCTCATTTTAAGGAATGTAATGTGGCTTTTAATAGGCTTTAAATGTTTGCTGTGGAATTATTTTGTACCCTGCTTATGAAGGCAACGGCCCTGAAATGCGTATATAAATCTTTTAAGCAGCAAACTGAGATCAAAGGTCACTCCTGGCTTAATTCCAGGTACTTTCCCTTTCCAGGTACAACGACCTCCAGGATCTGGAAGGCAAACAGCCCTGCCAAAACACGGGTTATATAGAGTCATTCCAGTGATGATCATTGAGCCCATTACTTGTTGGCACCTGTACGGGAGGGTGTGGCTGATGCTTTAGTTTTTCTCATAGGTCCTGTCTGTACCTGACTCCAGATGAAAAACATCTGGTGACTCCCCAAGAATACATCAGAGGCAAAACCACACCTCAGTGTTGGCAATGATCTTGAAATATCTTTTTCTGATATTCTCCAGAGGTGGAGAAATCTGTGACCCTCCATATGCTGTTGGCCTTCAACTCCCATCATCCTGACCACAGGCCATTCTGACATAAGTCACTGGAGTCCAATACACCTGGAGGGCTACAGGTTCCCCAACCTTGTTATACACAACTACATACATATACATAAAGGTTTCCTTAAAAATAAAATAAAATGGGGATCTTTACTATCACAGCATCAATGAGTTTGTGCAGGATTTGCATAATATTAGTGCCACTTTACCAACCCTGGAGGAATAACCTCGTGTGTGGGGGGTGGGAACAAGTTTGCTTTTATTAACAAGTGTGTGACACATTTGTTCAGTTTGGACATAGAGGAACAAAAACTCCCAGCGTTTTTCTTTGCCCAATTCTTCTGGGAAGGCTTCCTATTTCAATCTTTTCTCTCCACTGCAGTTTATCTCTTTCTAGAGATTAGATTGCAATCTGACAACTGTAATCTGCACTGAAGATGTTAATTTTTTCAGTTGTTGTGGAAGTATACAGAAAGAGAAGGAATTGTGTTAAACAGGAGGCAAAGTTCTAACCACTTTGTATAACCACTTTTTGAGTGCTCTAAGTACTTCACATATAGCCACTTGTGTGGAACCTGTAGCCCTCCAGACGTTGCCAAACTCCCATCAGTCCCAGCCTGCAGAATCATATTATTTCATTCAAGTTTGGTCAGTACAATTATCCTCACATGGGCAGAGGTAGGAGGAAGACAGAACCTGACAGAACAGAGCAGTGTTTCCCAAACTTGCGTCTCCAGCTGTTTTTGGACTACAATTCCCATCATCCCTGACCACTGGTCCTGCTGGCTAGGGATGATGGGAGTTGTAGTACAAAAAACAACTGGAGACCCAAGTTTGGGAAACACTGAAATAGAGAGACAAACTACCTATTACTTACAAATCCTCTGTTTTTCCCACCTCAAAAAAAGTTCACAAGCTGCTTTTTCTCCAATAGCAGGGAAGGGGTACCTGCGGTTTTCCATATGCTTGTTGGACTCAATTTCTAATGAGTTCCAGCTAGGATGGCCAATGATCAGGGATGATGGGAGTTGTAGTCTAGCAACATGAGGAGGACCACAGGTTGCCCATTGTTGCCCAACAGGGTTCTAGGTGCGCAATTCCCACTTGTGAATCTCTCCTGATAGCCAATTGCATGCTTTTTGCAAGAGGACAACACAGCAATTTATAACCTGTGCACACCCTTTGTGAAATGATGCGATGTGTCTGTATTTTGTACTCTGAAAGTAGTGCCAAAGTACAAAACCTAGCAGGGTGGTGTGAGTCATGCTGCCTTGTTATGCAATGTGTCTCTGCCTTTCCTTCAGGCTTAGCATGACACGGTCATCACCGATGGGGACCAGAAAGCTCTAATGGGCAATTAGATGGTTCAAGCACCTAGTGGTAGCATGATAGCCACCTGCCAGAGTGGCAGTCACAGAATCATAGAAGTGTATTATCATTATCATCATCATCATCATCTGGCTGGATTTCCCAACTGTGGAGTTGGAAGGGATCCTGAGGGTCATCTAGTCCAACCCCCCACAAAGCCAAAATAAAACTGATAAGTGAACCATATAACAACACATTTAAAAGCCTGCCAGAACAAAAATGTCTTAAACTCCCACCTAAAGGACAACAGAGAAGGAGCAGGTCTAATCTTCCTTGGTACAGAGTCTTACAATTAAGGTGCTACCACTGCAAAGGCCCTGTCTCACATCGCTGCCATAGACACCTGCCTTGACGGCAAAGTGCAGAGTAGGTGCTCCCTTTGAAGATGACTGCAGTTGATGAGCGCGTTCATGCAGGAAGAAGGGGGCCTTCAAATTCTCTGGTCCCAAACCATTTAGGCTGGGCTTTATATGATAAACTATGCAGTGCCCCGTGGCTTCCTGAATTTCCTGGTTGTTGCTAAGTGGGTTCTGGGATATCACCCAGGAAATCTTGTGATGTGGGCTGAGACATCATTGGTTACATTTCCATTTTAGATAAGAATATGTATTGTGTGTGCAAACCTTTCCAGCAACATAGAAAAAAGCAGTGTGTGGGATGGAAAGAAGCAATTTATTCCTAGTTTCCTGACATGCTTGGTTATTGCAGCTCAAAGATAAACCTGTGGGGGAGACGACAGTTAATCTCAAGTTGCCCTTGGCAATCATCGCAGGGAACACCCTCTGAGACATCACCACTGACTTTTTAAAAAATGACTAAGCAGACTTGTCTCAACAGGCTCCTCCCCACCCCCAGCCCATGTCATGGGCAAAACACACGATGCTGCATTTAATTGGCACATCTAATCCAATCAAGAAAAATCAATCAGGTGTGTTAGAGGGAACAATCATATGGAGTTTAGATTGGGGAGAGGGGAGAAACACCACAAACTAGAACAAGTCAATGGATGCATCATACGCCTAGTGGTCACAAACTGCCAGTGAGGTGGTCAACATCATCTGAACTGAACTTTGTCAAATGTCCCATCTGCACTGCACATTTAAAGCAGCTTCCTACCATTTTACACAGGCATGGCCTGCCACAAAGAATCCTGGGAAATGTAGTTTGTTAAGGCCACTGAGACTTCTCCTCACAGAGCTACAATACCCAGAATTTTCCTTAAAAATAGCTCAAAAACTTCTCTCTTTTTTTGAAAATTTGCTCAACAACTTTGGCTAAAAACATTGGATTTTCACTGTTTGAAATATGGCAACCTTAGTGGTTGGGTGTGTGTGTGTGTGCGCGCATTTGTGGTGGAGCAATCAATGATGTCCCCATCTACAGTCTGAAGAAATACAACCCAGGTCAAGCCTAGATTAAAGGTATGGAAGACCAAAGGCTAATACAGTGGTACCTCCGGCTGCGGACAGGATTCGTTCCGGAGGTCTGGTCGGATCCTGAGGTTTCCACAACCTGAGGACCGCTTCTGCACATGCGTGCGTGGCGAAACCCAGTCAAATACTTCTGGTATTGCCACTTCCGCATCCTGAAGTTTACGTAACCAGAGGTACTACTGTAGAAGACTATCAGCTTTCCTATCCTTCTGCTATTCTCAGACACAGCAACCTATGAGGAAGGAAAGCCTAAGGGCAGGTGACTAGTCCAGGGAAGCTCAACTTCATTGGCTGAGCTGGGAAATTGAAAGCCAAAATAATTAGGAGGGCTTAAGGCTACTTATTAGCCTCGTGGTTGATTTGGCCCTGAGCTCAGTCACAGATTTGTCACCGCATCTGCTGTTTGTCAGAATGGTGAAACATTCACCACTACAGGTTTATGGAAGTTGTTTTTGGGTGGGAGCTAAGTTTCCAGCGATTTGGGAGAGTGAGAGCTCCTCTGAGGGACATCACGCAATAAACTCCCATGGGGGCAGGCAACAGGGAGAAAGGTCAACCCTCGGTGATTTGACCCTCTCATCAGCTCAGCAGACTGAGCCCTGTAACTCAATGAATTCCACACCTTACCTGGGGATTCTGGCTCCTGTTTTGGGGCCACTGCTGTGCTGCTTTGTGGAACAGCTTGGTTAGGACTCTGGCTTTGGATCGGATTCAGCTGGAGAGGCCGGAAAGTGGGGTCAATTTCCAAGATCAGGCGGTTCAGTTTATCAATGGACACATCCAAAGTGGGAGAGAATTCTGGGCAGCTGTCATTGCCCGTTTCTGTCGGCTCCTCTGGCAGACATTTATCCCCCAAATTTGGGGATTTCATATGTGTGGCCTCTGCCGGCTTACAGGAGTCATAGAGTTCCATCTTGGGCAGTGGACCTCCTTTGCCTTGGGTCAATGAGATCTGTCTGTCCCAGCCTTCTACAGAATAGTATAAATACTGCGATGGCGAAGTGTGGCAAGGCGAATAACCATTAGGCTGCAAGCAAGCGTGGTCTTCTTGGGACGAAACACATATTGTCTGTCCGACCCTAAGCACGTGGTTTGGCATCACCCTTGACATCCTTTGGGTGTGAAGTCTTCAAGGATTGTTTATCTTCTCTCTCTCTCTCTCTCTCTCTCTCTCTCTCTCTCTCTCTCTCTGTGAGCCGCTAAGATGTTGCAAACACCTGCAAACTTTTCCTGGAGCCTGCCGCATCAAAGGAGAAAACCTGTGCAAACAGAATGTTAAAACAGAAGATAAATGGTTATGAGCACTCTAGTAATGCACTTTAGTTTCAGAACGGCAGGTAATGGGGCAGAGAGGGAGAAAGGGAGATTACTTATTTAACTGTAAACAGAAGAACGACAGTCACCAGTGCATTTCTTCCAGGCAGTGCTGGTGGGGAAGAAAACAGGTTTGTTTTTTAAAGAAAAGACATGGAGTCCTTGAGCAAAGTAGAAACAATAGATGCAGAGCCCAAAGTTTTATTAACAAATGTAGCTATAACACAGGGGTCAGCAAACTTTTTCAGCAGGGGGCGGGTCCACTGTCCCTCAGACCTTGTGAGGGGCCGGACTATATTGGGGGGGGGAGGAGAAATGAACGAATTCCTATGCCCTACAAATAACCCAGAGATCCATTTTAAATAAAAGGACACATTCTACTCATGTGAAAACACACAGATTCCCGGACTGTCCGCGGGCCGGATTTAGAAGGCGATTGGGCCATATCCGGCCCCCGGGCCTTAGTTTGCATACCCATGCTATAACAACTGTGATTCCTTGCAAGTGGACAGAGAATAGAGACCAGTTTTATTAACAGGCACAGAAAGGAAAGGGCAACTCTGGGAAGGGCTGAAGACAGTGCAGCAGCAAAAATGGGCAATTGCACTGATACACAAAAACATAGCACAGATAGGAAAATAGAGATATAGATTAGCAGCCAGGAACCTCCGGCCCACAGGTGTAATTCTGTTGGGTATAATCAACCTTGAATGGCTCCAGTCAGTAGAGGGCAGGGTTGAGAATATAATAGTCAGGTAAAAGTACACTTTTGTGGTTTCCCACTAAAACCCTCCCCCGCCGCAAACTCTGCTGCTTCTTCCCATTATTATTATTATTATTATTATTACTAATGCTCCACCTTTTCCCCTGATGGGACTCAGGGCAACTTACAGATAAAAACAAGAATTGCTAAAAGCAGAAAGAACTACCACTGAAAAAACAATTAAACATTAATAAAATTAAAACTATATACACATATAAAATCTGCTTACAAATTGCAATAAAAGCAGCACGGCACCAGTTCTTTAATTAAAACAAGAAGGTATTCAACCTGGTGGCAGAAGGACAGTAAGGACCAGTCTAGCTTCTCCAGGGAGGGAATTCCAGAGACTGGGAGCTGCCACCCAGAAGGCCCTTTCCTGCATCCCCACCAAACATGCCTGTGAGAGGAGCAGGACCAAGAGAAGGGCCTCCCCTGAAGATCTCAAAACCTGGGCAGGTTCAGGTGAGCAACTGCAATCTTTGGACTTAATATGTTTGCACTTAAGTCATTTCGGGCTTTATAGGTAATAATCAGCACTTTGGATTGCACCTGGAAACTGAAGGGTAGTCAGTGGAGCTGTTCTAGCAAGACAGTTGTATACAGTGGTCTCTCAGGTTAAGTACATAATTCGTTCCAGAGGTCCGTTCCTAACCTGAAACTGTTCTTAACCTGAAGCACCACTTTAGCTAACGGGGCCTCCTGCTGCTGCCGTGCCACCGGAGCACGATTTCTGTTCTCATCCTGAAGCAAAGTTCTTAACCCGAGGTACTATTTCTGGGTTAGTGGAGTCTGTAACGTGAAGCGTATGTAACCTGAAGTGTATGTAACCCCAGGTACCACTGTGCTCCCTATAACCAGCCTTGGTCAGCAAGCCGGCTGCAGCTCTTTGAGCCAATTTAAGTTCCTGAGCACTTTTCAAAGGCAGCCCCATGAAGACCACATTACAGTAATCCAAACGGGATGTAACTCGTATCAGCTAACACCATGCTCTTCTGCAGGTGGTCAGAACAACTGTGGAAAGGTTCATCGCTATGTATTTCTTTGTTTACCTTACTTTCCTTGTTGGACCTCAGGCGCACCCATTAAGTTAACTTTCTGCAAGCCTGCTTAAGATATTGTACTCCAAAGCTTTCACCACTACCGATGCAAGCCCTTTCAGGAATAGACAAATGGGTGTCAGGCTAAGTTTATAGCTTAGGCTCAAGGCAGGGAGAAGGTAAGGGCTGCAATTGCTGCCGTACGTCATGTCTAGCAACTGTTGACTTACTGCCCTGAAGGCTGATGAGAGAGGCAGATGAAAAAAGGCTTGACGAATAGCCAGTACGTTATGCTCTGGGAATTATATAACTGTTGGACGTGAACAAAAACGGCTCCTTTCTGTCCCCCTTTTATCTGGAAAGGAAACTAGAGATCAATGCATTTCAGAGGACTTTCTCCCCCACATAATAGGTGTTTCTGATTTGGGAGAAGGCTTAGTGCCATTTTACATAGATATGTAAGGATTTGCACAATCGGGGGTGGGGAAGAAAGGTTCTCACATTTTTTTTGAACTTGTTCCTCTTTTAAACATGACCCATCTCCTGCCCCTTCCATACCAACGATCTGTTTTACATGCACCGTTGGAAGCAACCCAAGAAGAAAGGAAACTGTGTTACATAGAGACTAACCATTGCTCCATCAAACTCAATGTTGTCTACACAGACTGGCAACAGCTGTGTAGGGCTCAGGCAGGAGTCTTTCCCAGCCCTTCCTTGAGATGTTGGTGGACTGAACCTGAGCTACAGTCTCCCCCCCAAACCTGCTGCCTGCACAGAACTTCTTCTTTTTAAATCTAATACTGGCTACAGAAGAAGACACCTTTGACTGTTCCTTTCATAGGTAAATTTCTACTTAATAGTCCAGGATGGACTACTGTCTCCTCAATGGTAGGAGCTAATGGTTTAGAAATTATTAGGGATCTCTTAGTGTTTTGGAATGCCCATCAGATGCTGGCAAAGATTGCACATCTTCAGATGAAGGTGAGGTGAGATCTCATTGAATGTTAAGCTTGGAAAGGAGCCTAGAGGTCATCAACTTCACTGCTCTCCCATGCAAAAGAAACCAAGCTTGGGTACAGTCACTCCCTGGAATTTCCAATTACAGTTGTACCTCGGAAGTCAAACAGAATCGGTTCGGGAAGTCCGTTTGACTTCCAAAATGTTTGACTTCCAAAGTGTGGCTTCTGATTGGCTGCAGGAAGCCGTGAAAGCCCTGTCAGACGTTCGGCTTCCAAAAGAATGTTCAAAAACTGGAACAATCACTTTCAGTTTTCGATTGTTCAGGAGCCGGAACGTTTGACTCCCAAGGCGTTCGGGAGTCAAAGTACGATTTTACTCCAAGATCTAAGGAGTGCTTCACAGCATCACTACAACAGAGCAGCAGTCCGTCCCCCCCAGCCTTTTTCTGAGAACAACACACCAAATTAAAAATAAGGTTGGGATGATTTGGGGACTGAGTGAGAGCCAGGGTGATGCAGTGGTTCATATGTTGCACTAGGAGTGGGATAACCTAGGCTCAAACATCCCCCCCACCATTAGACCATGAGACTCATCGACTGGCCATTGAGCCTGTCACAATCTCTCAGGGTTGTTCTGGGGAGCTTCTTGGAGGAAAGTCTGGATTTAAACGTCACAAATGAATAAATCAAATTCAGACACCCTCACACACCCAATGTAGATGGGTTGCTGTTGTCGTTTTGGAAAACTTTGAACCACAACAATTTCCTATGCAAATCAGGCTAATTCGAATAGAGTAATCTACGTTGGAACTTTTTCCATTTGCATCAGATTTTTTTATTCTTCTTCTGATGCCTCTGAGGGCGATCTAATATAACCCATTTAATTTACTTGTAGCAAAACACTTGCCCAAAATTTTATTTGCGGTTAGCACTCACTCATTGCTGCTAACGAACTTTTGAAATGGAAAACATTCCCACAGAGAAATGAAACACTGGAGAAGTTCCCACCGTACGTCACTGATGTGTGCATAATTAAAACAACAACTGAGCACAGTACTGGAAGTGGAGGAAAAAACAGCGGGGCAAAACCTTCCTCCCAAGAGGTTTGCCCAGAGAGCCTCTTCAACTGCTAAACAGTAAGGGAATCCTGGTATTATTTCTAGAGCTTTTTAACAGCTAAGCACCGTTGAGAAGCTGAAAGGAGATGAGCGCTGCCTGCGGGCTCACAATCTGATAGCAACAGACAATAAGGAGCAAAAAAACAAATGGAAAGGAGGAAAGCTGCAGGCCATAAGCTCTTTTCTTGGAAAATCCGTGAGAAGGAGATGAGTTTGCTGCAGGTGCTGCTTTAAATAAATAGGAGGAGATGGAGTAGTGCAAATGTTAGAAAGCTGGAAAGTGGGAAGAAAGTGAGCAAGAGAACAGTAGAAATCTGAAGAGCTTTGTATAGTAAAACGAAGATGATGTTGCAAGATAGACAAGGAAGAGCTAAAGAAAATAGGTAGAAACATAGCCCTTTGCAGAAGATTTTTACAACATTTATACCCCACTTTTCCTCCAAGGGGCTCAAGGCCGCATGTCGCCATTTTCATTCTTACAAGAACCCTGCAAGGCTGGGAGAGAGTGACTAACCTAAGCTCTCCTTGGAGAGCAATTGATTAGCAAAAGAAACGCTTCCTTTGCTCGTGGGGTTCGGAAGCGTATCATAATGGTTTCAGGCAATTGACAAGTGGGTGTGAAAAGTGGGACATGGCGTATGTGGTGGGGATGTCAGAATCTGGCTCGTGGTGGGCGGTTGGCGAAGTCAGACTCTGACCTGCTGGAGGAATCCAGTTCCCCATCCCTGGTCTACACAATCTATTTGAAAGAAAAACACACACCACTTTTAGCTAGCAGACCATGTCCTGAGATTCATACTTAGGAATTAAATGTCTGGGAAAAGTTGAGCAACAATAAGAGCAGGGGAGCCCAGGTTGCTTGAAACACAGAGCCTTCATGGGAGACATTTTGTAAATGCTCAGTATGCTTCATAGGCATATTTCCTGTTAACCTTATAACGGTCCTGCAAGTTATGCCAGTATTATTATCTTCATATTGCAGTTGGGAAGCTGAGACAACAGTGGCTTATCTGGAGTCCCCTAGTAAATTCAGGGGTGGGGTGAGATTTGACCCAGAAATTTTCCAGCAAATACTCTTAGCCCCTATACTAGACAAGCTCTTTTTAACTACCAGGCGTTTAGTGATTTACTAGAGGTGTCATTGACCACTTAATAAAATAAATGGGGGGAGGGCAGAGATGATATTTATTGTGAGTCGCCTTGGATATTTTATTAATTTAAAGGCAGGCTATAAATGCCATTCCCTTATTACTAGCCCTTTTCACACTACCAGTCCTTCAAACAGGACCAGCCAAGACATTTTGCTTCCTGAGGTAAAGCGACCCCAGCCCCACTCCAAGTTAAGCTGTCCTTGGCTGTCCATGTTATTTTGGCACCTGAGGCTGAAAGCCCTCTCTGGCAGTAAACACATAATATGGATAAATTGAATTAACCGACCATTTGCTGCCCTTTCATGATGCCCCAAATCGACTGCCTGAGGCGGCTGACTCACCCTGTCTAATAGGAGGGTCAAATTCCTGCCATGAGGACTACAGACAATCACCCTGGGCCTTTCTAAAGTCACACCGTTTTGTGCTTTGTGTCTCCAAGTCCGTGAGGCGTATTAACATTAGGCTGTGTGACTAGTAACATGGCTTCTTGTTACTATAGTCAAAACAAACAAGCCTCAGTATGGCAACGGTATCCCGCCATCTCCCTGGCACACCCTCTTAATCCAGGAGCGCCACAAAGGAACCCAATGATGATTAAGGAACGTGTAATCTGTGATCCGGCCTTCCTTCCCACGTTATTTCTAGGATAAGGAAATGGGCTTGTTTGCTTTTGCAGCTCAAATTTCAAGCGGGAAGAACAAAAAAAGGAGTGACTAAATAGTCAGCTTTGAATAAACGTTGACCCCCACTGTTAAACAGGGATGAAGTTATTAATGTCAGTTTCTCTCAGTTTCTATTTATACAATCTTCAATTCACTTCTTTCCATTTTCACACATATCTTTTCTAGATTTGTTTGTTTGTTTTAAAGTCTTAAGTTGAAAATTTGTACACATTTCTCCTCTTCTAAGCATTTTTTTTATGGGGGGAGAGCATTTTTTTCTTGTAACAGCATGGATTTCAGCATGTTATTCCCACTAATCAATCAATCAATCAATCAATCAATCAATCAATCACTTATTCTTCTGTTTGCAGCCTTTCCAAAGTTCAAACCATGTGCAAGGCGGTTTACAATGTATAAAAAATTAAATAGCTAGTCATTAACAATAATTTAAAAAATCAAAAAGTACACAACCAAACTGAAAAATTCCACATAAATCACAAGATCCAAAATATAGATAAAAAAAATTAACACCAACAAGATCAACAACACCCCCCCTCAACCCCCCCCCCCCCCCGAAACATGAATTTTTGTACACGTTCTTGTAGCTGGAGAACTGCATTGCAGAATTCAGGCCAAGTCTGAAGGAGAACCGTGCTTTGGTTCTCATTTTGTTTTGGAAGCGCAAATTTGCAAATAAATGCCCCCCCTTTCCTAACTGTAGGTCAGTGTTTGATGCAGCAATATTGCTCTCAATAGCTTCCAAAGCTTGGATCAAAATCTAGTGTATCATATCTAAAGAACCCATGTCTATTTTTACTCTGGTCCTGTCTGCAGCCCTTTAATTCCATTTCTCCTATCTAGGCCATGATTTCCATGACCCTCCAGCCTTCCCTTTTTTTGCAATCAGCGACTCTGCAGTTTACCCCTCACAGAGCTACAGTTCTCAGCACCCTTAACAAACTACAGTTCCTAGGATTTGTAGGGGAATGCTTTAAAGGCATGGTGTTTGGATTAAAGTGGATTACAGCACTTTAGCACTCCTATGTAACTAAGGGGCCATACACAGAGTAAATTTAAAGCATATATTTTTCTTCACAAAATTCTGGGCACTGTAGTTTGCCCCTCACAGAGTTAAGAGTTGCTGGGAGTTGTCGCTCTGTGACAGGTAAACTGCAGTGCCCAGAATTCATTCAGCGAAAACGTGCTTCAAATGTACTGGAAAGGTATAGTGCTTACTTAGCCAAACTCACTTCAAACAGAAAACAACTGCAGGCGTTTCATTGTTAGGAAAATGGCGGGAAAATGCAATGAAAAGTGTGGGCGGAACAAATAATTTGCGGGAAAACATATAAACACTGCACAGACAAATCAGGATGAACACTTAATCTCCCTGCAAACAAATCAAATGAATGCTCAAAAAAGACTAGGCATAGTCTACCCTCCACTTAAGCTTTGTGCAAGAAAATCTGGGCAAATGTTCAATAAACATCATCTGGAGGAACCCTGAGAAAAGACAGGATGACAATGACAGGACGATGGTGTCATGTGGATGCCCCATAAAAAGTGAGCCAACGAAGCATGACAATTCCATACTAAATCCCTGATACTGAAGCACCCCAGGTTTTGGAAGTTCATACCTAGTGTCAGGGCTCACCTGTCCAACTGTAAGCAGGATCCCCCACAATTTTCCCCAACAAGCCAAAACCCACTTAACTCTTCCTCTGCACATCAACCCCTATTATCCAGTTTGCTCCGTGAATAAAGCCAGGTGCAACCAGGCTGTCCTTCCCGCCCTGTGCCAACAGCACTTGCAAAGGTAAAGATAAAAGTGAGGTCAAGAGTCGAAACAAGCAACTTCAGTTCTTTCGCATACGTTTTGCATGCTACATGCATAATGAAGAGTGTGACTGCTCTAGAACCGAAAGGATTCTGCAGGGTTTGGGGGTTTCTTTATCACCGTGTTCTAGATCTCTGGACCCAAACCAGTCACAAGAAAAAAATGGATGGAGGGATCCCGCATTTTACATTCCAATCCATCAGACATGACATATCATAGTGGGACAGATATTATGCAACTTAATACGGGACATTGGAAAAAAGTTGCAACCGTAAGTGAAGAACAGGGAGTAAACAAAAAAGAGAAAGGGAGAGGGAGAGGGAGAGAAAGAAAGAAAGAAAGAAAGAAAGAGAAAGAATCATTCCATTACCTAAGCTGCAGCAGCTGTTTTCTGTGATATACTCACTCCGAAGTGTGGCAAAGGGAAAGTGTGAGAAGATATGAGTGCCTTGAGGGTGCTGTTGCTTTAATGGTCGTCCCGTCCCGCCTATGCCAGGTGAGCTCATGGCAGCCACACCTGGATTGCTAAGGCGTGTCTCTTCGAGTCATGTCCAGGAGTAATGAAAAAAAGCCCAAGAAGTTGACTGTGGAAGCTGGCAGCCGGCCAGGCATGCTCCCTCCACCGCAACTCGTTGCTTCACTAAGCAGGAAGACAAATGGCTGCATAATGTAAAGGGGAAATGAACAAACAGAGAAATGAAGAAGTGAATCTGGGCATTTGACAAAAGGAGGTGGGGGGGATTTTATCCCGATTTCTGGTAAACGAGGAGTGTAGGGAGAACAATACCCTCTGGTGCCCTCTGGTTGGCATCCAGGCTCCCTCATTCACAGTCTGGAATACCAGACGGAGAGTGTTCCTGAGAATGTACAGAGCGCCCTTCACTCATCAACAAGAACTCGTGTAGTGAAAAGCGTGGGCAGAGCATTGCCCCTGGCACAGTTTTCCCCAGGGCACATTCTGCTCCTTGCGCTGCCCCTGCCAGCCCTGCGCTGCTTTGCAAATTGGATCCCACATCCCAGCCTCATGAAGCAGTGTGGGGCTGGCAGGGCGTCAGGAGGACGCAACAGGCATGTGACTTCCAATTAGAGCGACTGAGTGGATTGCAAGGGCGTGTGCCTGTCCGGCTGTGTCCTCCTCATGTCGCCCTCCACTCTCTGCCCCCGCATGCCCACCTCTGGAACAAGGGAACAAGAAGAACATACGTTTAAAGAAGATTGAAAATGTTTATTGACTATATGGGGGAAATTGTGTACACTTGAAAACGTTGGCAGCATTAAGATAAATTCAACAGTGTAAATAGGTTTTGATGGATGTAACGAAGGAATACTGAATGGTTTAGTTTATATAAAATATGCAGGGATTTATGTTATGCAAAATGAACCATGGAAAGAGAAGAAGGGAAGTCATTAATATTTTGAGGATGTTTAAATGAATATTCTAAATTGTAAAACAAAAAATTTAATAAAAAATTAATATAAAAAAGAAAATAGGGGCACTTAGAGCGTCTGCGGGAAGACACTCTCTGCCGCTGCTGCCAGCCAGGTAAAACTGCTGGGGCTCCCACTTGTATATCATCAGCACACACACCAAATTCAACATAGCCCTTTAACTTGACACTGCTCTGGCAATGATGGCGGATGTGGATGCGCTTAATTCTGAGCTGATGTAGCTGGGTCTGGGACTCAGCACAGGCTGAGCATCAATATTCCTGCAGTCACCATGCAAATGACTTGATTCTTGCAGTGGGCTTTATGCTGCTTAGCAAAGTAGCATGATGTGTGCAAGAAGTCCCGCCTCTGCCCAGTATACATATGCTGGGTGGTTTTCATAGAATTGTAGAGATGGAAGGGATCCCGAGGGTCATCTAGTCCAACCCCCTGCAATGCAGGAATGTTTTGCGCAGTGTGAGGCTCAAACCCACAACCCTGAGATTCAGAGTCTCATGTTGTGCCGACTGAGCTATCCCATCCTGGGGAAACCTCCTATTTATAGCCTTCCCTTCCCTCTTGCCTCCTACCACTCTGCCCTCTGCCCCTATCTCTGTGCTCTGAGTTCTGCAGAACTCCAAGGTGTGATATCCAAGATAAGGGCCTGATCACTGTAATGAAACAAGCCAGCAACCTACAGATAGGAAACCTTTTATGGCAGGGCTTTTACGAGGCTGCTTTTCATACTAGCTGTTCAAACAGGAGACAAGGAAACAGGCACAAGTAATATGCCCTGCTGGGCCAGTGAACACATAAAGAAGCACGCTTTTAAAATTATTGAAAACTCTCTGGATAAACAAGAGGTCTGTTAGCCAGTGGCGGAGCAAACCGATCGGGCGCCTGGGGCGGCGCGCGTGCCCTGTGCCCAGGGGTGGGGCCAGCTGCCTGTGGGGCAGGGCAAGCCGGGACGGGGCCTCCAATGAGTCTGCCTGCCTCCTCCCACTCAGCTGCCCTACAACTGAGGGGGAGGCGGCGGGCGGACCATTTGGAGCAGCACGGAGCCTGTGGTTGCCCAAGCCACTGTGTCACTCCTAGGAGAGATGCGCGGCTCGGGCACGCTGCAGGCCCCGCAGTGAGTGCCACCTGGCATTTTGTCACCCTCGCTCAGTGGTGACACCTGGGGCGGACTGCCCCACCCACCCCCTTCCTCCGCCCCTGCTGTTAGCAGGCTTTGATCACTTCGTCTGACACACCGGAAAGGTGACAGATGCTCAGCACTAGAGAGAGATGCTGTATATACCAGTGCTTGTATTTGTGTTCGTATCAGTGGTGTAATTACAAACCATTTCCACATTTCTACTGTTCTCTTGCCTTTCTCCAGAATATCAGCAATATCTAGGCAACACAATGACCATGTCTATACGCAATAGAATTCCTTCAAATTTATAGAATTCCTTCAAAACCATAACAAGTACAAAATGAAATCTTTAGTCTCAAAGTCTCTGAAAATCTTGAAATGAAGCGATGTACCAGACTTTGTATGATGAAAGACAAGCTGCGAAGCTTTGTGTATTCGGCAAATATGATGTCCAACACTGAACAGTGATTCCGGATATTGACTACTGTTTCGTAGAATTCTTCGTCAGCATGGTGGGAGGATATATGCAGTGACTATATTATTACATGAGCACTGTTTCACAGCATTTGATATTTTCATTTACGTACATTCATTCAAAATAAGATGGGTTTATGAAGCAATTCTATATCCTCCCACCATGCTGATATTGCTGATGTTCTCTTTGCAACACAGGGGTTTGTTTGCCTACCTACTTTCCCCAGAAGAAGAAGCATACAGTGGTACCTCGGGTTACATACGCTTCAGGTTACACACTCCACTAACCCAGAAATAGTGCTTCAGGTTAAGAACTTTGCTTCAGGATAAGAACAGAAATCGGACTCTGGCGGCGCGGCAGCAGCAGGAGGCCCCATTAGCTAAAGTGGTGCTTCAGGTTAAGAACAGTTTCAGGTTAAGTACAGACCTCTGGAACGAATTAAGTACTTAACCCGAGGTACCACTGTATTTCCCTGTTCTGCACTACAACATCCAGTAAGAGGTGTTGGGGGCTGCTGGTCTTACCCAAGCATTGATCTTCCATCGTAAGCTACAACCAGAATTGCAATAGGCTCCTCATTGTCCAGAGTACTGCACAGTTCCTATACATGTGAACCCCTCTACGTTCCATTCACACTAGTGAACTGAGCATGACACAGCTGCTGAGAGTAGGTCACATGGTCACTTGAAGCTCAGCACGTAGATGCACTAGGACCTTTGTACTTGAACGGCATTTTATCACACCATGAAAACCAGGCCTTTGGCCGACTGACATCCAATGCCCTTTTAAATGTGTTGTGAAAGGGGGTGTGTGTTATTGGTTTGTTTCTGTTCTTACTTATATTATGTATTTTGTGTCTTTTTTATATTCTAATTTTATATTGTGAACTGCCCTGAATTTTTTGGGTAAAGGCAGGTATAGAAATTTAATTAATGATAGTAATAAATAATAATGAAGGCAAATATTTATTTTAAACAGTACTAAAATACATTTTTTACTATAATGTATAACCCATTAGTGAGTACCACATAGATAAAAGAGTGTTATATCATTATAGCACTATAATGCTGTTTTTAATTTTTCTTTTTTTTTTAAAGTGTCAACATCCTGATAATTGATTCTATTGTTAAGCTACACATAGGATGCTTGCAGACCATCACCATTTTCAGTTGGGATGCAATCACATGCCAGCCAGTTCAGGTTACGCAATTAAACCCCACTTCCCCAAAAGATCAATTTTTTTGTGGTTAAAAAAAGTGAGGGGGAAATGCCCTGAAAAGCAGGGAACGGCATGTGCTTTTACACGTCGTCCTCTAGCCTTCCCACAAATAACTCAGAAAGAAGATTGATTTAAACAGCCAACGTTCCAATGAAAACAAATCAGGACAAATGTTCAAGAATCAGGTTCCCTGGAAGCGCCCTCACTAATAATAATAATAATAATAATAATAATAATAATAATAATTTATTATTTATACCCCGCCCATCTGGCTGGGTTTCCCCAGCCACTTTGGGCAGCTTCCAACAAAAGATTAAAAATACATTAAAACATCAGTCATTAAAAACTTCCCTAAACAGGGCTGCCTTCAGATGTCTTCTGAATGTCAGACAGTTGTTTATTTCTTTGACATCTGATGGGAGGGCGTTCCACAGGGCGGGCGCCATTACCGAGAAGGCCCTATGCCTGATTCCCTGTAGCCTCACTCCTCACAGTGAGGGAACCACCAGAAGGCCCTTGGAGCTGGACCTCAGTGTCAAGGCAGAATGATGGGGGTGGAGACGCTCCTTCAGGTATACTGGGCCAAGGCCGTTCAGGGCTTTAGGGTAAGATTACCAGATTTTTTTCAATGAATCCTGGGACACTTTTCAACTTCCTACTAAACAGATGGATTTTATCAGGGGACTGATTTGTAAATCCGGGGACTGTCCCCGGGAAACGGGGACGTCTGGTAACCTTACTTCAGGGCTTTTAAATGTTATGTCCTTAAAATGTTTCCCCTACTGTACAACTGAATTCTATCAGCTACAACTTGAACCCAGTTACCTGGGGCAGCAGAGAAGGTGCACACGCCATATAGCTTTAGAGCACATTCAAAACACATCCTTTCCCTCAAAGCATTCTGGGTACTGTAGCTTACGCCTCACAGAGTTACAATTCCCAGCAGCCCCTTAATAAACTACCGTACCCAAAATTATTTTAGAGGGGAAACAGGCTTTGAATGTGCTTTAAAGGTATAGTGCGTAACAGAGACTTATCATCTTTGTGACAGCCCTTTGGAGATTTGAAGAGTGCCATCAAGTCATCACCTGTCAGTCTTTTCTTCTCCAGCGTAAATATATCCAGTTCCTTCAACCTTTCCCCATAGGCCACGTTTTCCATACCAACTTGACCATTTTTCTTACCTACCTCTCTGAACATGTTCCAATTTGCCTACCACCTTTACAAGCTACTGTAGACTGGACAGGAAGACACCCGACAGCCATACCTTGAGATACCAGGGATTGAATTTGGAATATTCTGTGTGAGAAGCATAGATTCCACTGCTAAGGCACAGAGAAGGTTGTGCTTGGTCGAGGTAGAGGATGGTACTTGGTGGTCAGGAGGAGAACCTGATTGGGCTTTGTATTTCAAGGAGAAAACCCTCAAGGAAAGTAGAACATAGCCTGTTCCTTGCCAGGCCTGGCCCTACCCTTAGGCAAAATGAGGTGACTGCTTCAGGCAGCAGATAGTGTAGGGTGGAGAGCAGCAGCAAGGTGTTGGGAGACAGAGTTGCATACACCGTAGGGCCTGCCCTCTAAGCTAGTCTGCTGCCCTTTGTGATGCAAAAATGCTCTTGCTTTACCGACGCTGAACAAAGATTCAACGATTAGCTTCTATACACTGGATGTTGTCTTATCCTTTGCCTCAGGCAGGAAACTATCTTGGACCCTGTATAAGTTTTACAGAAATGCACTGCAATGTAGGGAACCCTGGGAAACCAGGATTCAAATCCCCGCTCAGCACGAAACTCACTGGCTTAGCTTTGGTCAATCACTGCCTCTCAACCTCACCTACCTAACAGGGCCGTTGTGAGGATAAAAATAGAGGCAGGGGGTGGGGGAAGAACCACGCACGTCACCTTGATCTCCTGGTAGGAACGGTAGGGTACAAATGTAATAATAAATGCAGTATTCACTCGAGTCTAATGCGCCATCGAATCTAATGCACACCTCAATTTCCAGAACATTGGAACAAAAAAAAAGATTATTTGCTGGCGAATATAAATGTGCCATTGAATCTAATGTGCACCTTAATTTGGCCAAAAAAGTGAAGATTAGGTTTGAGTAAATACGGTACATGGTGAACAACAACCACAACCTGACCCCTCATTCATATAAATGGTACATCAATAATAATGCCAGCAGCAGCAACAACAACAGATTTGACTCTTTCCCTTGCTCTGGGAACTTGGATAGCTCAGTTGGTTAGACTGTGGTGCTGTTTAATACCGAAATCACAGGTTCGATCCCCGTAAAGGACAGCTGCATATTCCTGCATTGCAGGGGGTTGAACTAGATGATCCTCAAGGTCCCTTCCAACTCTACGATTCTATGTCTGAACCCAGAGAAGAAGGCTAAACCCCTGAAACAAAGTCAGACCCTGAGACTTCGCAACCCTATTTTAGATAGTTTAGAAAGGAAAAAATCTGTTCCTAAGAAGCTTGTAGGTTCTGCTTGTTCCCTTTTGATTTTCAAGTGACTCACTTTTTTCTTTTTCTTTTTAAATGGGCTGTAAAACATGTTGACTCAGTGCAAGACAGCCTACCAATAACCCCCTCCCCCCACCCCAACCATGCATTTTTCAAAGTTCCTTCATGGCTTTTCCTTTCTTCTCCAGCTGCGGTTGAACATATCAGTGACTTAATTCTATAAACCTTTACTGGAAGC